ATCCATTCTCGGCACCCATCGTTTTTCAAGTAAGCCGGTATCTAAACCTCTTTGGTTGTACTGCATACTAGAATCTGCATGAGAAATGATACACATGTTTAACGTCAGGGTAGTGCAGTTGTTGTTCGCTTCGGGATCTACATCGAATCGATGTCGAACTTTCAGACCTCGACAATGGTAAGCTCATATTTTTTGATTAGTGGAATTACGTTTCTATGAGGGCCGCCTTCCCACAGGCTAGAAACATAGTGCTGTTCCGAATAGATTCAAATAACAGCAGGAATTTTGCTGTGCTAAATTCTGCCTATTCCGTTGAGTTTTTTCGTTGTTATTCAATAGATTTATATGCGCTGTGTTGGCAGCTAGATTAGTCAGCTTGAGTGGCACATATTTCTAAAAGAAAGTTTCCTCCCTTCAGGACTACGACATGGACATCTACCTGATGATGTCGTGGAGAGATGCTCGGCTTGTCACTCCATATGACAAGCCGATTCTCGTCAAAGAGGAAGAGATACTCGAGAAAATCTGGCGGCCAGATCCTTTCTTTGCCAATGCCAAAGAAGCAGAATTTCATGAGGTTACCTTCTTGAACTTCCTCATGCGTATCTTTCCCGATGGGCTAGTACTGTATGAAACCAGGTAATGAAAAGGTTCATTTATTTAGAAGTGTTACTGTTTGCACTTCCAGGGTCAAAATCAAACCATCATGTAACTTGATTTTGTGCAAATATCCACACGATAAGCAGACTTGCGATCTGTTGATCAAGTCATGTACGTAGAGGACTTATCTTATTATTGATTTTTTGTTACTGCTGAAATTCAGTTGCGTATCCCGTCGAGACAGTTCAATTTGAATGGTTCACCCGCAGAGCAGATGCAATTGACAAAAATCCTGATGTCAAACTACCGGAGCTCTACATCGATCGTTATGAGCCAACGACATGTACCAAAGCTAGAAAATCAGGTAACCCCGCTTTTGCTAGAATTGTCCAGTATCATTGCTAGACTTCAGGCGCCTTCTCTTGCCTTCGAGCCGTGTTCCGACTGAAACGAGACGTTGGATTTCACATAGCACAGACGTATATTCCAACGTCTTTAGCGTTGATGTTTTCTTGGGTAAAGAACCTTCACCCTAAAATGACTTAAAAATAAGCACACGTCTAATATACAAGGAAACTTCACATCTTTTGACGTATACGACATGCGATAGTCAATAATTTGAAGGCAAAAAG